GCTTCTGCTTGGGGTAACACATCTACTTGGGGAGGTGCCTCTTCTTGGGGAGGTCAAGGTCAAGGTCAAGGTACTGGTGGTGGTGCCTCTGCTTGGGGTGGCCAAGGTTCTGGTGCCACATCTACCTGGGGTGGTGCCTCCGCTTGGGGAAACAAATCTAATTGGGGTGGTGCCTCCACATGGGCCCAAGGTGGTGAATCCAATGGCGGTGTCTCAACATGGGGTGGTGATAAATCTAGTTATGGCGGTACTTCTACATGGGGTGGTGCCAATAACAATCAACAACAAGGTAACGGCTCTACATGGGCGAACCAAGAAAACGGTAACAGATCAGCTTGGGGCAACAGCGGTAACAAGTCCAATTACGGAGGTGGAAGCACTTGGGGAGGTCATTAAGACTACATATCATAGAAATCTCAACGATAATAACAATAAAAATAATAAAATAATGAAGAATATAATAACTCATCTTTAAGATTCATGTTTGATTACATTTATTCATCTGCAGACGAAATGAAATAAAAAAAATATTTATATATATTTAGATCCTTTTTTTTCTAAAAATCTGTTTTATGTATTATATCATATGTATTAATTGTCATCTAGTTTAATTTAACAAACAATTTTAACTTTAATGAATCAGTTAACCAATTAAAGGAAATATTTATTATATTTTATATACAAGTGCGTTTTTGTTCATTATATGCCTTTTTCCCTAGAATTTTAATATCTACGTTAATGTTATTTATATATTTAGATATACATAAATAGGCTTGTGCGTATGTGCATGTGTAAGAATATGAGATATAAGACTTCTTAAAGTCCGATCAATACCTCAGTACTTGGCAGTTCTTAAAAAGTCCAAAGGTTTGACATCTGCAACCTTTCTCTTTTTCGATTCCTTAAACAAAACATGACGTTCAGCAATAGGATCGTACCTGACTTGGTGAACCAAAGGAGCACTTCTCTTGACAGTAATATGTCTACAGTACCCTGTGGCTGCAGTTGATATCAGTTTTACAATTGTATTTTTGCTCTTAGCCTTTGCCATAGTTCCCTTATGCCTATTTTTCCCCTACCTATCCTATAACTTCCAGTAGATACACCAATAATATAGATGTAAGTTTCAATTTCAGGTGCTCTATCCTACTTCTTAACCAACAATCGATAACTTATAACCACATCTATCACATTTAAAACTACTTCGAAATCGTTAAATCTTAAAGCTTCTTTGATAAAATTGGCTTTAATTTTGATATCTTTCCGTCCTGGCCAAAATATCACTAGAAACGAATATGTCGAAATATTATTTGATGGAAAATTTGCAAAGAAGACGTTAAAAGCCAACCAAACAAGACCTTAGAAGAAGTTATTATAATAAAAGTATTTATGTTTGATGGTTTATTGTAGTTTCTAAGGTTCCGATTTGAATAGAGTAAGTGTGTGAACTTAGATCCAAGATGACTGAAGCTATGAATTCCGAGGTTATTAATAACCCAGACGGTACTAAGACTATTATTACTTATAGAGTTGAAAATGGTCAAAAATTCAAGATTACTCAAAAGGTTAGAGAAGTTCATGTTAGTGAAAAGGTCCATAAGGCCGTTGCCAGTAGAAAACAATGGGCTAAATATGGTGAAGAAAGAAATGCTCCTCCAGGTCCTAACCATTCCACTACCCAGTTGGGTGAAGAAGTCTATTTAAGATTGAGTAGGAACTGGAAACAAAAGGAAGAAGAAGAAACTGAAAAGGCTAAGATTAAATCAGATGGTATTATCAGTTGTAGATTATGTGGTAACGCGCATTATACTATGAACTGTCCATTCAAGAGTATTATGAGTGATATTGCCGCTTTGGAAGATCCTAATGCTCCTATTGAAGTTGGTTCCAACGCGGTTGAGGCTCCAGTTGAAACAGCTTCTTCTGCAGCAGCCGTTGCTTCTGGTAAGTATGTTCCACCTTCTCGTCGTGCTGGTGCAAAGGATCCATCTTCTGATGCTTACAGAGACTCCAGAGAACGTGATGATATGGCTACTTTGAAGATTACTCAATTGAATGAAAATGCTGATGAAACTACATTGAGAGAAGAATTGTTATTCCCATTCGGTAACATTCCAAGAGTTGTTGTTGTTAGAAACAGAGAAACAGGTAGATCCAGAGGTCTTGCCTTTGTCACCTTCTCCAGTGAAGAAGTTGCTGAAAAGGCTAGACGTTTGTTGAACGGTAGAGGTTTCATGAATTTGATCTTGCAAGTTGATTGGTCCAAGCCAAAGGAAAAAGAATAAATCAGTTAAATAAATAAAATAGTTATAAAATCCACATATACGTATCTATATATACTGTAAATTAACTTTAAGCTTTTCTGAATACCAGTAGTATGAATTAAAATGAGTAACAAGGGGATGGATCATTACATTAAATGGAGAGATTATTGTTTCTAGAAGTATTATATTTGTGGAGAATATAAGTACAAGGATATACACTTATACAGGCACATACGCAGATATAGATATAAATATATATGACTAGTAAAATAGGCTTACAATTGATACTTTTTTTTGCTTTTTTGATTTATTTTTAAAATTGAAAATCCATCATTTAAACCCAGATTGATCTACCATGGTTTTCAATTTTTTCACCTAATTTACTTACTTGTTCATCCCATTCTACCAATCTATCTTTCATTTTTGAAATTTGGTCACTGTTGATGATTCTTGGTTGGACCCAAGTGATGCTAACCAATTCATTTACTTGATCTATGGAACCTTTTAACAAACCCAAACTAATTGCTTTCATGACTAAATGTTCTACATTATCCTTTGATAGATGGGTTGAAGTTGCGATATCATCGAAGGATAAGTTTCGAATATTTTTTTCGAAGACGATTTCTATTAGGGTCATTAGACATATTTTTTGTCTTAGGAAAGACTCATGCTCTGATAAGATTTGAATTTTTGGTATTTGTACACTGATCAAACTATCGAAAGTTTTGAAATCACCTAGAGTTAGAGCGTTCAACAGTTGTATCAACCATTGGTATTCTGAATTACCTGAAATGAACGTGGTAATTTGATGGTTCAATAATTCACCAAAGTTGTAAATTTTATCACCTAATAATGCTGCTATACTTAAATTGTAGGCTAATTCTTTAAAATCATCTTTGTATACCATGATTACATCGTCATTGGTTAAATCCAGAGTGGACAAGTATAATAAGCTTGTATAGTAGAAAGAGTTGAAATCTTTTTTAATTCTATAATATTCTGAATTGACGTTGTAGAATGCGCTGGTGACTCTTAGTGGGACAGTATCTTTTGAATCCAAAGTATTCTCCAAATCGTCCAAAATGTCTCTACTTTGTACCAAGTCGTTTTGGTATAGGTAAATTCTTGCGATTTCGATTTTGATTAGTAGTAAACTGTCGTTATGGTTTTTAAGGCCGTCATTTCTCTTTTTCTTTGAATCTATTGAATCGAAGGATTTCTCTAAATCTTTCAAATAGTGTAGTGATTCTGAATAGTCGTTATGGTTTTTCAAAGACAACAAGAGGAATTCGACGACGTCGAGCTGGTTGATCTTGTCTAGGAACTTGGTGACGAAGGTGTCGTATACTCTTAGTCTCAATGGGACAGATTTTGGATCTTGAAAGAAGAGGATCAACGATTGTGTCAATTGATGCCATAATTTTCTTTCATATAGTTCTTCGAATTGTAGAAACAATGGAGATAGGGAAGGGTCAGCTTCCAGACGTAAAGTGCTCAAAATAGTGTCAATTTCATGCATAATTGGGGGGAAGGGGGGAGTGTGTATGTGCAGTGTTGTGTCCCTTTTTAAGATATTAAATCAGTGGGATGGTATATGATTAAAAATTGAAGAAATGGGAAATGGGAAATATGAATTGTGGGAAGGAGAAGGAACAGGACAGATACTACTTCTATAGGAGTGGTTTATTGTCTGTGGTATGTTGGATGAATTGGTGAGTAGTATGTTATGTAGTAAGTGTATATATATATATTTATATATGCTATAATATAAGGTGGCAAATAAAAATATATGTAATAGCACAGTATAGTATAGTTTTGAAATTAGAGGTAGTGTGTGGTTAAGCTGAGGGTTGGTCTGAGAAGAGCCGAAGTTACCCAGTTTTCTGTTGTTGTTCTCCGGGAGGTTCTCTGCGTGGTACTTTAATTTTTCTAAATTTTTTTAATTTTAGTTACCCTACCACACGTGACTGCACCCACACCACGTGAGTGTCATGTGATGTTGTGTTAAAAAGTATACAACACAACAAAATCCAAAAAATCGCCACCCTCTGTCTCTCTCTCTGCCGGCGTGGTGTGTGCCCCGTCCGTCATCCGCTTTTCCCTCTCTTCCGTTGCACGAACGTGTACTTGCCTCTTCTCCCAACAACGAAGAGAACCCAAAAGAAACCAAAAGAAACAGCACATTGCATCACCCTACACGACACACCCACCCAATGCACTCTGCTCGTCTGGCCATCTCGCCTCTGTCCACTTCCACTTCCACTTCCACTTCCGCTGCCAAAATATTTTTCATGTTTTCTAATTAGTAATACGGAGACAGCTGCAGAGAAACGCATGTACACCCAAGCAACAGAATAAGAAACTACACTGCACTACACTACACTATACTATAATACATACTACGCCATGCTATACTCAATCCAGTCTAACTGTCTATTCGAATCCAACTAACCCAGAATTAAATATCACACCTTCTCATCCAATAACTCACTTCATATACTAAATCATACCAACACTCTCATCTCAGTCCTATATATTTATTAAACACTATATTGTGTCAAAACCTTTTCCCATCTCTTGCTAACTCAAACATATAACCCTCCCCCCCCATCTACCTTCTACAATTTGTTGCAAGATTACTGCAATATATATTCATTCACAACTGCTTCAAGAACTTCCATTAAACGACTCTGCTAATTATTTAATTAATCAATAAAAAATAATACTATCCCCCCCATCCTCACTGAGAATTAACTTTTAAAATACAATATTTGGTACCCTCCCTCCATCCCCCATCCATACATACATATATTGAAACTTTTGCTTACTCATAAAGGGTCATTTTGGATTGGGATATCTGGTTTTATATATACACACACATATATTACAATTACTTACCTCTGCACAAGCAAGGCAAGCCAAGAAATAATGACTAGTGTCACAGTTAAAAGACCTCTGGACGAGTCTTTGACTGCCTTGTCCCCAAACGACAACAACAGCTCAATTCTCAATGCCTCCACAGATGTAGATGCTTCTACCGTTGCTAATGCAAACAAAAAAAAAGTAGGAAGAAAACTACTGGGTGATCACGAAGTAAAGAATAAAAGAACTGCTCAGAATAGAGCTGCTCAAAGAGCCTTCAGAGAAAGGAAAGAAAGAAAAATGAAAGAACTAGAGGACAAAGTCCACGAACTAGAAAAAGTTAAACAACAGAACGACGTAGAATCAGAGTTCTTGAGAAATCAATTGACTCTGATGATAGATGAATTGAAAAAATATAGACCAGAAAAAAGCTCAGATATTAAAGTCCTAGAATATTTAGCTAAACATGAAGAAAATGGTTCTACTGAAAAAATTAAAAAGAATATTCAGAGGAAAGAAGATTTCTCTTTTGAATACCCACCACCACCACCACATTCCCAAACACAGGGCTCTTCTGCAGATACTAATGTCACCTACAATAAACAGAATACTGATCAAAGATTGCCCTCTCCTGGCTCTTCTTCTGGATCTTCTCCAAATATGCTAATGCTAAATAACAAGAAACAAAGCATTTTGAATAATAGAATCACCACTCCTTCTTCTTCAACTTCCTCCTCTTCAGGTTGGATGGATAACGTCTTCTATAAGGATGATGCACAAAATTTGCCACATTTCGATACTTCAAGTACTTCAACCAACACTGCATTCAGGGATAGCCCCGTCAATAACAGCATCAACTCCATTAAATTAGAAGATAACTTGAAAAATAATAATAACAGCGCCTTGACTGTAGGTTACGACAGCGACTTATTTTCAAACGACTTCAATTTTGATGATCATTTCGACCAACAAGTTTCAAGTTTCTGTGTTAAAATGAATCAAGCCTGTGGTACTAAACAAAACCCAGTACCAAAAACTATGGCTGAATCAAATAAATCCCAAAAGACACCTCCATCAGAAGGGAATCCTTCAACCACTCCTAACGAGTCAAGCAATGATAGCTCACTATCAATTGCAAAATTTGATGATCCAAACTTCTTGTTCGATTCACCATCGAATGACTTCACAAATACTTTGGATATCCCAAGTGTTGACAGTTCAAATGCAAATTCAAATTTTGGACAATTGGGTTTCCATGGTTTAAGTAATGACATAACTTTCAATTCTAATGATTCGAATTGGAATGATTTCATATCATTGAAAACAGATTCAATGACATCTGTGCCCACAACTTCTTCAGTCGCTACTAATGATCATCCAATAAATATTTCAAAACCATCTGAGGAAAACTCTCCTAGAAAGGAAGTATTACCTTTTATCGATACTTCAATTGCATTCCCTGAAACTAAAGCTGATTTCGATGCCTTCGACAATCAAATGTTCTTTAGAGACGATGGTTTCAATGAATCTTTGAATATTTCAGATGACATTGTAGGGGCAGAATCAGATGACGAACAAGATAATAATAACGATAACGATTTAATTTCAAAGAATTTGGTATGTGAAGAAGTAAAAGAACATGATATGGTGATACCAACCTCTGATGGTAAATTATTGAAATGTTCTGAAGTCTGGGATAGAATTACAGCTCATCCAAGATATTCAGATATTGATATTGATGGTCTATGTCAAGAATTAATGCACAACGCTAAATGTTCTGACAAGGGTGTTGTAGTGGATTCAAAAGATGTACAGAAAGCATTAAGCAATCATATGTCATAATAAGAAACCGATAGAAATAATATCAAGTTGAATACATTATTTAATTCTATTGTAATATTCCCTAATTTTTGAAAAAGAAAATGATTAAATAAATGTACCGAATCATTACTTTCCTGATTTGACAAGAATCTAAGATCCAAGTTATAGATTTGGTTAATTTTTTTGAATTTTACCCAAGTAGAGCTATATGACAGATTTATTTAGGGACATAATTAAACCTGAAAATAATAGACATTATGAATTTATTAGTCAAAAAACTGTATTGGTATTGCTATTTTGATTGATTATAAGCAAAAGCATAACTTGATGCTTTCTTTACATAAACTGCGTCATGATACGATTGATCACTATGATATAGGTATTCTGTTCTCCCACATTTATGAATCCAATCCAATCCAATTCAAATCAAATCAAATCAACATGAAGACAAAATTTTCGCTTCACCAAACAAGTTAGTTAATGTTTTCATTATGATTTATTCGATGATTCAATGTTTGTTAGTTTCCATGTGATCACCGTCATTATTACTGTTTCCATTGTTTTTACTATTATAACTAGTTTTTTTTCACTTATATATAGACAGCTATATGAATAAAAGAGATAATATATGTATTTTTTTTTTCTAATGTACCCATTTCATCCACAACAACGTAAGTTCTGGCATCCCAAAACTAAAAGGAGTAAGAAATCGATAGTAACATTGACATGAACTAATTAAAATTGCAAATTCTAGTAGTGAAAAAATATATAGATGTGAAAAAAAAGAAGAAATAAAATGAACGATATGGGATTGTATAAAATGTATCATTTACGAATATCAAGAATCATTTATCTGCAACTTTAAAGACCTAACTTATCATCACCCATTACCCCACAAACCTTCCTTCATTCGTACAGCTCGAAATCAAGAACTTGAAACAAGCTTGAATCAGTCAATATGCATAAATATGTGTGATACAATAACAAGAAACGTCAAGGTTGAGGAAATGAAACAAAATCGAGCTAGTAAAGTAGACCTTGTCTTGACAAGATATAGTAGATAAAAAAGCTTTGACTTCATTAAACCTAAGTTACATGCATTCTGTTCAAATCACTATTTTTGCTAAAAGTCATCCAGCCTTAAGAAAATGTATTCGTGTAGGTAGTTATATAGTAAAGAAACAAAGAAAGGGAGAGAGCAACGCTTGAACTGCTGTTTCAAATGATATCATGTTGTAATGGGGATTCCATTTGTACTTGAGGTTCAAATGTTTTTAAACAGTCTGCCTGTATTTCCTTTCTTTCCCCTTCACTCCATCAGCTGGTGATAGATAAGTTCATGAAATAGAAGGTGGTGTTATGCTGTGTGTCTAGAGAGACACTGCACTATCACCTCCAGGTTACCAATTTGACCTCTTCAATTTCCAATTCGAGATAGGAAGGAGGTCAAATTTGGTAGTTAAAAATAAATAAGGTCAATTGATATTTACTTCTGAATCTAACTAACCTATAAAATTTAGCTTAATCTACTCCCCTCCATTCAAATGATGGATATAATTTTGACCAATTCTACAGTAGTTTTACTTTTAACCTTTTAAAATCAAGACGAATTGAATTGACATTTGGAGTGAAAGGACCAACTCTGTTCTGTTCTCAGTCAATATCTTTCGGATCACTAATACGTCATTGATTAAATAATATTACACTCCGTTGAATTCTTCTAGCTCAATTGGTAATTATTCTTGGTTTTACGACTTTTATGATTTTTATTCAGTAATTACTTTAGCTATCTCTCGTATGATAACAATGAGAATTATGTAGACAAGATAGTCATTTGAAATTAATTGTACTACTTGGTTTGCATATTTGTTGGATTAACTTGGATGGAATTGCCGTTTCTAAATATTGTAATAAAGAAATGTGTTGTTATAACCCACTTTCTCTCGTGTCTGTCCTATATGGTTCATTCGTCATAGGTAGCCTTTCGGTAGGACTTCATAAATCAAACTAATTTCAAGTTCAACTAATGTTCAACTGCTTCTTGTTTCGTTTTAAGACTGTCGTACAGATATTTACCTTCAATCTTGACAATACCCTTGATGAGGAAACTAAAGAAGGGGTCATTGGAGTATACAGGTTAGTGAGAATGAATTGTTTTAAAATGGGTTTGTTCAGAGATTATTAGTGAAATCAAGTAGTTGTTGATTAATGCTTATACAATATTATTGTCTTCCTTGTATTTTTACGTATTTTATTATTTTATTATTTTATTTTGTATTTTTTGGTGGTATTATTTTCCTGATTTTATCATACTGCTACTACCACGAAGTACTATTTCTAGTACCCCATTGAAATGGCTATCACCGTTGTTGTTCTTGCCGTTGTTGGAGCAGTAGTCGTTAAACTTTTTACACTTTTAAATATATACCTTTGTTCCCTTGTTCACCAACAATTGAACTGGACCTCTCTCGCTCTTTATGCTCTTGTTGGGTTGTTACTCGGAATTTTACTTATTTACAGGTTGCAATTGTATGCCTCTTCTTACAATTTCCCTTTTAAGACCCAACTTTCTACATAATGCCAAACCAACTACCAAGCAATTCTCTCAGTCGAACGGTCTCTAGTTTTTGGAGAACTTCTTTCGAAAGACACTTGTAGAGTTACGAAGACTACAAAAATTCTATACAGATTATTGCAAATTTCGTCATTTCTCTTATAATTTCCACTCCATCGACAATACTGCCTCTAGAATTATTGATATATTTCATTATCTTAAATCATAATACATGACTATATATATATGAGACTTCACTACTTTTTAATTAACCAATATTTAATATCTTGACTGTTTTGCAATCCGAATAAATATACAACTGTTTTCCAGAAAACGTCGTAAAATAAGTAGTATCCATCCACAGATAGAAATTCGTAAATTTCCATAGCCTATTTGTAGTCTTATAGTCGTTTGTCTACATTGATATATTTACTATAATTTTATTTTATTTTAATGCTTTATTCAAACTCTGGCAAATACCTTTATTAATATATTTGAAGTCACAAATTGTTACATTGTTATTGATTTATCAATGGGTAATAATATTTCAGTAGATGCTACAAATGAATTTCGATACAAAGGCAAAAATATCCAATACTTTAATCCATATTATAATAAAGATAAGAAAGATATATCCAATAATTTGATTTTAGAGAATTCTGTAAACTTAGAGAATTTTAATAATCAGAATACAATGAATTTATCGAATAATAATTTAATGGAATGTTTAGCAAAATTGTCCATTGATCATTCCAACTCTAATTCTAATTATTCATATTCTACAAAGACATTATTTATGAACCCAGGACATTCAAGTCCTGTTGTTTGCCAAACCCCTCGTTTGACTGCCACTGGCAGCTTTGAAAATAGAAGTATATTTCTTAATAATGACGATTCAGAAGCATCATCCCTTATAATACCAAAAACTTTTGATGAATCTTATCTGATGGATCAGAATAGTGCTCTCTTCACCATCGAGCAGAGCAGCAATGATGATGACAGAAAATATACAACAAAAGAAAATAAAAATAAAACTTCACATTTCTCATGGAAAAAGGAAATGAAGAGAAGAATCTCTAGAATAAGTAAAGATAAACATCCTAAAGATATATATTATGATGGCAGTGAAGAAGATGAGAGTGACGATTCTAATGCTATTGTCCACCGTCATACCAAGGACAGGAAAAGGTTGAAATCTGATATAACAGTAGATCCATCGCTGTCAGATAAAGACTCTTCGGAGATTAAGAAAGAAGAAGATAACATAGGTAGTATACCAATTGACTTTACTCCCTCGAATAATAATGAGATTAATAAAAAGTCAAATTTTAGTTTGCATTATAATGATTATGTTAATTGCATCTCTAGTAATGGAACACCGTCTATTACCTTAGATACAGGATCTTCTATTTCTACTGCCGAATATGAATTAACTTCATTGCGTAGGTATCATAGTAGAGTGAATGTTGTGTTAAGATGGAGAGATTCGTATATTCAAAATGAGACGTGCAAGTCTGTCTCTATCATCAGTGAAGATATTTTGACGTCAGTACAAGCTCAAAACTCTGGGGTACTCTTGATATCAAACTTTTCCATGACGTATGACAAGAATGAGAACAATTGGGTGCTTCCAGATTTATTCTTACCTCCAGGTAAATATAGATTGCGGTTTTTAATCGATCATCATGATTTTAGATATTCTAACTATTTGCCTGTCACTGAAGATGAGTTGGGTACTATAATAAATGAAATAGAGATTCTTCCAGGTTATAAGTCAGTGGAACCGTTTGAACATAATAACCATATAATGATTCAGGAAAATATAATTAACAGCGAGCTCTCATTAAATAATTCTCGACAGTTACAATCAGAACCGCCCTCATATCCAGAACTAGAAGAGAATTTTAGTTCCCCAATAGAATCAATAATATCAGAAGACGAGCTTGATAATGATCAATATTCCAAAGTTTATGGGAAAAGGAATAATTCGATTGGTCAAAGCAAAACCAGTTTATCTATTAAACCATGTATATCAGAGGTAACATATACTAATGAAATTCCACAACTGTTCAAAATTACGGACAATAACTGTATTGTAAATGAGAACTATGAGAGATATGGGTTTGTCGAACCACCATCATATGGGGAGCCGGGACTGGAAAACCGTGTCATTGACTGTAATCAAGATATTCTATTTGCGACATTTCAACAAAATGGTGCAGTTGATGTTGAATTAGCAGAACAACTATTCCTTGAAAAGTATCCAGTACCAGACCTGCCTGTATTTTTAGATTCTCATTTCTCTGAGAAACTCTTTGATAATAACGACAGTAGTAAGAATTTAAACGATATGAATGGTGAAGATATTCAAATCAAAAATAATGGCCAAGATATTCCCCATGTCAATTTGAACCATGTTTTAACAAACAAGATATCTAATGGTATGATTAGCGTTGCGTGTACTACTAGATACAAAAGGAAATTCGTTACCCATATCCTATACTCCCCATCCACACATTCTGAAGTTGGTTTTTAATTCGATGTGCTGGTAAAGAAATCTTAATGAGGAAAAGTTAAAACATAATCATGACTTTATAAATATTCCTACAAATTCACAAAGGAATAATAATTTAATGACAGCGAATGAATAAAATAATGATGGTAATGCAAATTAAAATTAGATAATTAAATGAAGTAAATAATATATATATGTACGTATATTTTAGTATGTTATATATATATATATATATATATATATATCAATATGAATCGACATGTTCATTATCTGAGGAAGATTATGCATTTAACTACAGTTAATTATATGATTTAAATATATTACATTATACTACATGCTGAATTTTTACCACTTTTCCTTTTACTCTTTGATCTTTTGTTCGATGTTGATTTTTTATTTGATGACAGTCTATCAACGTTTTTAATATTTTTTTTCAAATCATTCTTGTTTTCGTTTGATTTTCTACTACTCTTATTACTACTCTTGTTGCTAACTGATGAAATTTTATCCAAGCTGCTATTAATCAATCTACTTTTTGATCTTTCAGCTTTACTTGAACTTGTCAATGCTGTTGAATACTTTGCTAATGGGTATTCTGTACCAACAGTGTTCGTCAAAGTAATAATATTTTGTAATTCTTGTCCATCATTGATGTAACTTGAGCTACCATTGGTAATAGTTCTATAAGATCTGTGAGCAATAGTTGTATTTGTATTTACCTTGGTGGGTATATTCATATCATCGGGATAAAATTGTTGTGGTATTGAATCATCATAATAGTCTACACTACTTCTACGTGTGTTGTTATGATTATTAATATTAATGTTATTATTATTGTCATTTACTATCATTGGATAGAATTGTTGTGGGGTATCGTGGATTGATAAAGAATCATCTGAATGATTGATGTAATCTTCTAAATGAGGATTTGAAGAATTCTCATAATTTGAAATGTTAACAGTTACATTTGGTATTGAAACCAAAGAATAAAACAAGATTTTTGGATAATCTTTATTTATATGCAGTAATTCATTTAAGGATAAAATTTGTAAGTTTGTCATTGAAAATTTTGAATCATACAATAACCAATCGTCATCGATATCTGCACTATCCTGTTCGTTATTTGATTGTCTTATCGCCGTGATCAATTCATCTGAATCACTGTTGTATATTAAAATTGATTGCAACACTAGTTGGAAGTTTGCGTATGGATCGGGCAAGTTTACAGTTGGTAGAACGGTATTAAAATAACTTCCAAAGTTAGGATCGTTTATAAAATATGGAGGGAAACTTGATAAGGAATCTGAATCTGAATCATCTAGATAAATGTCTTCTACGTTCACGTCTCCTTCTGCATCTGCATTTGTATCAGCAGCCGCATCCTGTTGCTCATTATTACTTATCAGGTATTTTGCTTGATTGTTGTTAGGATTCTTTTCGTAACTTAGAGAGGGTAGAGACTCTACGTCCTCAGAGTATTGGAAACTATCAATAGAGGATAACTCTGTTGTATTTTGGGAAGAATAAGGAGATTGATTTGATTTTTTCTGATTATCATTCACACTAGTAATAGCGTTGGCATTCAAAGAAGATGACAATTTCGGTTTAAAGTTTATTTCTATTGAAGAGGCAATACTTGAATTAGTATCATCGTTACTATGGGAAGAAGTGCCGTTGATTACTAAATAATGTAACTCTATGGAATTCGACTTGTTCAATAATAGCAATGTCTTTTTGACAATATTATTGTAATAATCTAGTAAAATGTTATTGTTAAGATAGTTAATTGAAATCAATTTGAAAATTTTATTCCCTTTATCAATGTTGAAAACATCATCAACCAAATTATTCTTCAACAACTTATAGTAATCTTCATTGCCCAAGATTTCCTCAAAGGAACCATTCCGCACATGACAAAGATACCAAGTCCAAACATCAATCTCTTTAGTAGCATCACCATTGCCATCACTCGACATAATGAACAAAAGTAAAACTAGAACTAGAACTAAAATTAAAAACTAGAACAAAAATTCTCTATCGTACTAGTTGTCTCTCTGTGTTCCTGCCCCCACCACTAAAGTTAATATATATATATATAAATAATTATACACAACTTGTAGATATATGAAAAAATATATATATACAGCCAACCAACAAAACCCACATATATGCACTACTGCAGACTACAACTTAAAAGAGTCTAGTTAGGTTTTTTCTCTAACTTGAAACTTAGTCCAATATCCACAATTCATCATCCCATCTAATTCCATCACCATGGCTTGCAACGAATAACTTGTTTCGATATTCGAAATTCGAGTTTCGTTTCGATTCGAAAGCTCAAAAAAACTTGACAGCCAAAGAAACGAAACCGATGGCCGTTTTGGTTACCACAACAACAGGCAAAGCCAAGGGCATCTGTCGTCAAAGCAGTTTCGAAAAGTGAATTCGAATTCGAGTTCGAAACAATCAGATCAGATTAGATCAAATCAAATCAAATCACATCTCATCAAGAAGGTATTTAAAGTTGCATTGATGTTTAGTTTCGAGATTGAGTTAAAGTTGTTTTATATCCAAGTTGTTGTAGTTGTTCTTGTTGTTGTTGTTGTAGAATTGGTTAAAGCAGTTGACATTTTGTAATTGCAAGTGTTACTTTTATGTGATTAAGAGAGCCATGAGTTGCGATGGGATGATCATTTGATGTATTTGTTGTATGAATGTGATTGAGGGGCGATGGGGATGTGAGTGGGTCTGTTGTTGTCTTGTCTTGTCTTGCCTGGTATTCTATCTTGGATCAGCAAAGTCTCGTGCTCAACTAGACCGTGTGTTGTAGATCGTAGCAATTGGTGACTTGTACTATTTAATCAAGTGATCTATGATATCGGGGTTGGGAATTGTAGATCTTTATATTTTCTGGTTTCTGGTTTCTGGTTTGTGTTAAGGTGATGTTGATTTCGAGGTCGTAGAGTGGGTCGGCTATCGTACTTTTTCTACTTGGAAATGTGATTATATAAATATAAATATGTCATCGAGAGGGTGTGAATATCCCTTATCTTCTTTGAATCTAACTTGAATTCAGTTCGATTCCAATGCATTCAAACTTTATCCCATTCCATTAAGTTTGTTTCTTTGTTTGTTTATTTATTTATTTATTACACACGACTTTAGGCCTTCAATTCTCTTTTATTTATAATGGTTTTGCTTGAGGCATAATAAATAGATAATGTCTGTTGTTGTGTCAATTGATTCGATTTATTATATTCTTGTTTAAACTTCTTTTATTTTAAATCTAATTCAGTTTAATTTAATTTAATTTAACTTAATTCACTTCAATTCATTTTATTTCCACTCTAAGCTCATCCCATATATGTGTGTCTTGAAGAGATACTATGGTGTTCCCAGATGGAAATGAAAATAATTCTTTACAAAATTCTACTGGGAAGTTGGACATCCCATTACAGCCAATCCCTAAGAAATCAAGGATAATCAAAACTGATAAACCAAGACCTTTACTGTGTCCCACTTGCTCAAGAGGCTTTGTAAGACGTGAACATCTGAAGAGACATCAAAGGGCTCATACAAAGGAAAAACCATTCGTTTGCGTATTCTGTGGGAGATGTTTCGCTAGAAGAGATTTAATTATAAGACATCAAAATAAGTTACATTTCGATATTTTAAATTCATCATCCTCTTCATCAAATAATTCAACTGCTACTGTAGGCTCTGCAACAAACACTATCGATCCAGATGAATACATCATTAAAATGAATGGTAATACATTATCTGTATTGCCTATTCCTATACAAAACGATGTGACAAATGTTTACAGTTCATTGTCATCCTCTTTATTAAACGGTGCAAGAGCAAATTTAAATGGTACCATCACTTCAAGTAATGGTAAATTAGTTAAACAAAATAGTGGTACAAATGTATTCATAATGGAAAATAACTTTACCAAATCAAACAAGAAGAAGAAGTATAAAATTATTCCTCAGAAGGCTTCTGACATTGTAAATAAAATTGGAAATAAAGAACCTATCTTTCAAAATAAAATTTTGCCATTGCCATTACAATATACTTCTAATGTCAGTAATTCCAATAATACTAATATTATAGATAATAATAATAATCAACCGCTGACGATAACTAATAATGATAATAATAGCAATGATAATACTAACATCAACACTACTACATCGAATAATACCAATAACCTTGTCACAGCGTTTAATAACACCCCAAACATAAACAATGTCATCATAAATAGTAGTAATATAACTGGCAATAGCACTGCTACTGCTCCGACCACCAATAATAATAATTTAAATATTGAAAAGAACTTTAATTTCTTTAACGAATCTCTAAGAGGTTTGATAATTACCCAAAATAATTTATCTCAAGATCTTTTCCCAAGTGCAATACAATTGAATCACTATATTGATTTATATTATAGACATTTCAATAATTATTATCCGTTTATACATTTATTCTCTATCAATCCATCAATTGAAAATTATCCATTGTTAATATCATTAGCTTCATTAGGTTCACTTTATGATAAATTACAGAATAATGATTATCAAATACTGTATAAAATTGCATGGTTAAATATTAAGAATTTTCTAGAAATTACTAAAAATAATCATGAATCAACACCATTATGGGTTATTCAAGGTATTGTATTACTTACATTTGTTAATATCTATACAGATGAAATTAAAAATACAAATCTATTACAATCGAAATTGTTTGCATTAATAAGATTGGTTAAAATTACAAAATTAAATATACCATTGAATCAATTTGTAATGCCGCCACAGTTACCACCTCCTAATTCAAATAATTTAGAAGACATTAATGATTTCTTTAATTATTTTGTCTTATCACAATCAAGAATAAGAACCTGTCATATAATTTTAGTCATGTCAAATTTCCTTTCAACTTTCTTTGGTTGGGATTGTTTACTACATTCAATTGATTTGAAATGCGGAATACCTTATGTGAATGATGATATCTTCAATTATGACAATTCAATTTTATGGTTTAAAAATTTAAATGCATCCTTTTTCACTGATTCTTCAAGCTTTACCGACTCTAAAATTCATAATCTAGGTAACGTTCTTATAGATAATCATCATTATGAAAACGGTTTACGATATTTAGTAAATGGGATAGATGACAATTTAGAATGTAAAGAATTTTCAACAAAGTTTCTATTATCTTTACTAATATCAATTCATGAAAAAATTTATATCGAAAGGAAGAAATTTAATTTTAAAGTCATTAATTGTCTCTATGATATGGATTGGAGAATGAATACAAGACCACTAATAAATTCAATATTGAAAAATTGGGAGAAATTATTTCTGAAGAATAATAATGGTTTCAGTTATAGCATTCATAATGATAATCAAGACTTGCAATTATTAATACCACTTTATTGGACTGCAAAGATTAAAGAATGTGTGGATATTTCATTTGTTCTAAACAAAGCCATATCTGGGGACTGGCAATCGATGAATTTAAGCTTAGAAGAACTGTATTTGGAATGGGAATCATTACGTGAAGCTACTGATATAGGTTTAAATTTGATTCAATTTAACATAGATTCCGTTTTAATATTTTTAAACAAAAATAATTTTAATCCAATTCCTAAAACATTTATGACGCCTGCAATCTATTTGATTTCCATGTTTAAAACAATTTTTACTATTTCAGAATATATGTTAAGAGTTGAAAAAGCTGTCTATAATATACATATTCTACCACCAGTGGATCCAGTTTTCTCATCAGTATCAAGAATTGTTTGGCTTAAATGTGAAAAGATTTTTTCAAATGTAGAATCTTTATTGGTACCTAATGGTTATAATATAGATAATTTTAATGAATTCATCGATAAGCCAAACAAACTAAAACAATTTAGTTTTGAACTATTAAATGATTCATTAGCAGAAAAGGCAATGAGTTCGGATGTTGACATAGATGAAACTGTAAGGCTGATAGTTTCATTTAATATGTCGATTCGTTGTCTGTATTTGGGATCAATTATTATAGAGAATATGTCACAACTGCCACTCTCAAGATTCCTGTCACAAGCATTACAAGCAAGAGCAACATTTATTGCAAGAATGAAGAGTTAGTTATGCCTAATTTCCAATCAGTTTATTATTATTATTTCTATGTTTTTATTACCTTCTATCTCCTTAGTAATCGAATTTTTGCATTTTTTTAAAACAACATAGTTTATTTTAATGATTAATTGTGTTCATAATTGCATACATCAATTTACATTTTTGCAAATAGTACACAATTTTGAATTTCAGTATTCATTCAGAAGAAAAGATCCCTTGTCCAAAACTTTCAGTTTATTGTATATATATGTTTATATATATATATATTGGTGTGTGTGTGTGTGTGTATCGAAGTGTATATATCATTCAAAAATGTATTATATTTGATAGAAAACATGACTCGAATAAAATGAATCCACTTCAAGCTTACTCGGATACTAGATTGTATTGTTCTTCTTATTGCGAAACTCTTTACCAGTTCAGATCTATCATCATACCTCTTATTCTGCCATTATATCTATTTTCTGTCATTACATTCTTAGATTATAGTGTGGTAAATAAGGAAAAATAAAAAGAAATGTGAAAAATTATTGATGCGATGAGATGAGTTTTGATATAAAAAGAGAGAAAGAGATCAATCATTTAAATAGCTTTATTAAACAAAAGTAAGGTGTAGAGTTGAAAAACACACCCAAGTGTTGTCGATTATTCTGTTGGAGTGTATACGATACATATAGATCGTTTCAAGATTTATTCATTCGCAGTTAAAAGTTGGAAAAAGTGGTTCAAGCTACCATTACAAATTAAGATGTCTAGCGATACCACTAGTGTTATTTCAAAAAAATTAAATGGTAAAGAACTATTTGAAAAAATAGGCAGACCGACTAAAATTGTTGCACCTATGGTGGATCAATCTGAATTGGCCTGGAGAATTTTATCTAGAAAATATGGTGCAACTTTAGCTTATACACCAATGCTTCATGCAAAACTCTTTGCAACTTCAGAAAAGTATAGGAAAGATATGTGGTCTTCTATTGATGGTGATCCAAAAGTTGATCGTCCATTAGTAGTTCAATTTTGTGCTAACGATCCTGATTATTTATTACAGGGCTGCAAAGCTTATTCAAGATAAATGTGATGCTGTTGACTTAAATTTAGGTTGTCCCCAAGGTATTGCTAGGAAGGGGGCATTACGGTTCATTTTTAATGGAAGAATGGGATTTAATTCATAAATTAATACGAACTTTACATGATAATTTAGATATTCCAGTCACTGCTAAGATCCGTGTATTCCCAGAACGTGAAAAGACTTTAGAGTATGCTAAAATGGTTTTGGATGCAGGTGCTCAATTTTTAACTGTTCATGGTAGATTAAGAGAACAAAAAGGCCAAAAAACAGGTCTTGCTGACTGGGATATTATTAAATATCTAAGAGAAAACTTACCTAAAGATACAGTTTTTTTTGCAAATGGTAATATATTATACCCGGAAGATATTTCAAGATGTATGAACTATATTAATGCAGATGCTGTTATGAGTGCGGAAGGTAACCTTTATAACCCAGGTGTATTCAATACAGATTTCGTGGATGATAAAGAGAAAGTCTTCCCAAGAGTAGATAAAGTTATCAGGGAATATTTCAATATTGTCAAGGATAATCAAGGATCACAAGCTTCAAGAATAGCTATGAAGTCACATTTTTTCAAAATTCTAAGACCATTTTTGCCACATCATACAGATATTAGATCTCAAATTGCTTCAATGAATGCTAGGACTCCATTTGAAGCTTGGGATGAAAAGGTTGTTAAACCTGTCGAAAATGTAGTTCAAGAAATATTTAATCAACCAGATATTGAAGAGAAGGATAAAATTATTGTTGGTGAACAAGAGTTGTGGGGTGGTGCATACAAGACAGTTCCTTACTGGAGATGTCAACCTTATTTCAGACCTGTGAATGGTGTCACTGGTGATAAAAGAGTTACAGAAACTTTAAAGGCTAACAATCAAACCCACAGTAATGAAGATTCTGTTGATAAAGAGAGGAAAAGAAAAGCTGATTCAGCATTAGAAGGCGAATCAAAGAAAGAAATTAAAGCATGAGACAGTTTTATTTTCATTGCATCGAATATTTACAATCGAAATAACAGTAGTAAATGATAAATATTTTGTAAGTATAATGGTATAGTAAATAATTCCATGGAAATTTGTACATATCTATTCCAACTATAATATCTTACCAGAATATATATAGAAAATATCTATATTATGGATTTATATATGAATATTGGTCATGTCTTGCCACTTTTTGTTTATTTTATCCTAATAGTATAAGGATATTATTTGCTTTTCTGTTTAAATTTACGTCATTTTTAAAGGTTTCGGTTAGAACTTAATATCATAATTAATGATAAAAAAGGATATAATACAGTTAAAATGAGGTTTAATTGTTTGTATTGTTTTGATATTGTACTATAGGAATAAAGGTACCATCATTTCGATGCTACGATCTGCTAAATGACTGCTGATGAGTGTATCACAGATGATGAGAGCCAGCCTTTACTATGGGAGAACGGTGAAGTGTTAGAGGAGCAGAATAGTATACATGAATCTATTGTAGAATCAATTAGGAGGCAGAGAACCAATACAATTACCAGCATTAGAAGTGGCTATCAACTTGTTAAAGAACATGTTGATAAGGAGAAGTTTATTTATTTGATTTGTTTAAGTTTATTCCTCTATTTGAGTTTTATGGCAGTATTTGCCCCGCGGTCTTCCTTATCTATGGATTTTAGATGGTTACATGGTTCAAGATTGACAGAAGCAGAGGTATACCGATTATTTATTAATAAATTAGATGAAGTCAATCTGATAAAGACTCATATTGGTAAATTATCCGATGGTTCCAAACGCCCAGGAGATCAGAGTGAACTCACTTATGTGACGGAACAATTAGAAAAGTTAGGATTTAATCCTAAATTAGAAAAGTATTATCCTTGGATGAGTACACCAAATGATACCAAATTACAACTTTACTATAATGATAATATCAAATATAACTTTGGATTAATCGAGGATTGTTTGGAGGACTATGATCAATTGACTTGTATTGATAATAAATTAAAGGGTTTCCATACCTATTCTGCCAATGGTGAAGTCAAATCATCATATGTCTTCGTAAATTATGGTACTTTACAAGATTATAAATTATTACTGGATAATAATATTTCTGTAGAAGGTAAAATTCATATAATTAGGAATGGTGATATAACGCAAGGATTCCAATTAAAGAACGCTGAATTATATGGAGCTATTGGTGTTGTAACATTTTCTGATCCTGTTGACGATGGTTTTGTAACAAATGAAAATGGATTTGCTAGCTATCCATATGGGAAAGCCCGTCACTTAAGCAGTATAAATAGAGGTTCGGTGGCATATCTGGCTGATATACCTGGAGATCCAACTTCACCAAACTTTCCCTCTAAGAATAGAGATACTGAAAGGTTATCACCAGCTGGAAAAATTCCAACGATACCTTCGTTACCATTAAGTTCTGAAGAAGTTTCAAATTTACTAGCTGAATTGAACGGGATTGGTTATAAATTCCAGGAGGGTGGTGATGTGATCGGTTTTGATTATTCAAGTGGACCTTCGCCGGAGAATGTTACACTTTTATTATCAAATTCTCAGAATTATAATATTACAGAGATTACGAACATTGTAATTGATATAAAAGGAATATTTTCAGAAGGTATGATTATATTGGGTAGTCATAGGGACCATTGGACTGTTGGGGGTGTTGGGAAATCAAGCAGTAATACAGCCCTATTTTTAGAAATTGCTAGAGGTATGAGTTATCTAATATCTAAAGGTTGGAAACCATTACGGCCCATCAAGCTGGTCAACTGGGATGGCTCTGAAGAAGGTTTTCTTGGATCTACAGAATATGGGGAAGATCATGCAGCATTTTTTAGAACCAATGCAATTTCATATATTAATATGGATAATATTATGTCAGGAACAAAATTCTCATGCCTTTCTAACCCTCTACTGAAAGAAGTTATTATCAAGGCCTCGAGATCCACATCATTCAAAGGATTGGACGATTGGACTCTTTACGATGAGTGGAAAAGACAGTCTCCTTCTACAGAAGTCGACTATCCAGGTGGAGACTCTGATACAATGATATTTCAAAACCATTTAGGTATCCCATCTATGGAATGTTCATTTATTAACGATAGATTACACGATGCGGTATATCAACCTGGTTCGAACTTTGATACAGAAAAATGGATGGAGACATTTTTGGATCCTAGATATGAATTACATAGCACTCTTGCAACATTTTTTGGGCTAGTTGTGCTAAATTTAAGTGAAAAAGTGGTGATCCCGTTTAAAAGTGAACCTTATTTCCAAACAATTCATCGGACTTTTAGTCGTTTTTATTCTATGATTGTTGAAGAATTTCCGCATGATAAGGAGATTTATACTATCCTTACAAAGACATCTGAGTTGATATCGCGGTTTTTAGAAACTGAAAGTATTTCACTTGATGATTATACCAAAAAAGTACATGATGAAGCTGTTCAAGAACTTCCACTTTGGCAAGCATATAAGAAATTTGGAATGTATGCAAGACTACTCAGAACAAACTCAAAATTAATGAAATTCGATAAATTATTTTTATCACACTGCGGATTAAACAATAGAGAATGGATGAAACATTCAATATTTGCACCAGATAAATATAATGGGTTTGAAGGTATAATATTACCAGGTATTAAAGAAGCTCTCCAAGAAAATAATAGAGATGAATTAAGAAATTGGTTAACAATATTATATGTTCAATTGACGAATTTATCATTGCTAATTCGATAACTATAATTTACAGATGATTTTTCCTGTTTTCCAATCGTCTATATCAACTTGTATTGTAGATTTATGTTGTATAATCATACTTTGTTAATAACTTTCTATATTATGAGTCACGTGATATCTATATTTTTGATATCCAGCGGTATTAAGAATTTTGAAATATTTTAAAGCTTTAAAATAAATAGATACGATTATGATTAAAGTTAAACTAATTTATTAATGTATATCTTGAATTGAAGGCTTTTTGAAGATCCTAACTACTGAATTTGAGTTCACACCTTATTGTTGTCGATACCTGTGGATAACTTTTGTTTGAAGGTCTTTCCAAAATGGGTTCCTCGTTGAAGAGTTTTATAAAGGATGTTCGTGCTTCAAAAACATTAGCAGAAGAAAGATCAATTATTCAAAAGGAATCTGCAAAGATCAGAACTAAATTAAGAGATGATCATTTGCCATTAGAAAAAAGAAGAAAGAATATCCAGAAATTGTTATATTTGTTTATATTAGGAGAGAAAACACATTTCGGTCAAGTTGAATGTATTAATCTAATTGCTTCAGATGAATTTGTCAATAAAAGGTTAGGTTATTTAGCAGCAATGTTGTTACTTGATGAGTCACAAGATTTACTAACTCTATTGACAAACCTGTTAAATAATGATTTAAACCATCCGAATAAATTCATTGTATCATTAGCGTTAACTACTTTGGGTTTTTTAAGTACATTAGAATTAGCTCGTGATTTATATCCAGATGTTGAAAACATTTTAAAGACATGTAAAGACCCATTCTTATTAAAACAAGCTCTCCAATGTGCTGCAAAGTTAATTGCTAAAGATGTTTCTCTTTTGGACATCTTTTCAATGGAATATATATCATCCATTTTTGAAAACCATGCTATTTGTACACACTCCGTTTTATTAGGTATTTCCAAGGTGTTACAATCAATCTTACTTGCGTATCCTGGTTATTTAGATTTATTGAGGGAAGATGGTGTGGAGCTGAATGGCGAGAATCATCAAATTCTAAATGATGGTATCAAATTTATCCCAGAATTATTATCTCGTTTACAGAGTCTAAATGTCAAAAGTTCTCAGCCTGATTATGATGTCAAAGGTATTTGTGATCCTTTCTTACAGTGTGAAATTATTTATACCTTAAGATTATTCTTCCTTTTGGATGTTCCAGAAATTGATAGATTTAAAAATAAGTTTGAGGACTTATTAAGTCAAATTGCTACTGATACAGATGGTTCCAAAACTAGTGGGCAAGCTATTTTATATGAAACTGCACGTACTATTTTTTCATTAGATCTCGAACAACCATTACGTATTCTGGGTATTAATATCTTAGCTAAGTTTTTGTCTGGTAGAGATAACAATGTGAAATATGTTGCCCTAAACACTTTATTACGAGTGGTTCCACAGGAACCTACAGCTGTTCAAAGGCATAGGAAGTTTATTTCACGATGTTTGCACGACCCTGATATTTCAATTAGGATGAGAGCATTAGAATTGACATTTGCAATCTTAGATGAAAATAGTCTTGTAGAATTAGTTAACGAACTGGTCAAGTTTTTGGAATCTGCAAGTGGTGATGACAAAGATTTAATTATTTTTACAGTTGATAACCTTGTCGAAACATTTGAGAAATTTAAGGTTCACGATGAAAAGTGGAAGCTTGATATTTTCTTGAAAGTATTGGAGCTAGTGGGTTCCTTTATTACTCTAGAAAAATTGGGCGATATCTTAATAATCATTAATAATACAGAAGATTTACAAAATAAGATATATGTTGTTAGTAAAATGTTGAAAGTTTCATTAAGCAATGATCAAGACAGTGTAATACAAATATTTGACGATAACCTGGGCTGGAAACTTGTTACGATTTGGTGTATTGGTGAATATGCGGATTTGATTTTATTGAAGAATGCTAGTGAAATTATCAATGAGGAAAGTATGACTAAATATTTACTCAAACTGGATAGTGAGTATGGTACCTATGACAGTAAAATTACTCAATACGTCTTGACTGCATCACTAAAATTATCCTCCAAGATTGATAATAGGAAATGCATTGAAGATTTAAGACAAATAATTTTAAATCATACAAAGGATCCAAATCTAATGATCCAAGTAAAAAGTGTACAATATGAGTTGATATTTTCGCAACCAAGAGAAATAAGAAAATCAATACTAGCATCAATGCCTATTTTCGAAAGAAAGGTTAGAACTCCTGATATGGATACCCAGAGCAACGTTCACCAAAAGAGTAAGCCTGTGGCTTCGAATGCTGATTTGTTGTTAGACTTGTTAGGTGATATGGATTCATCTTCCGGTCAACAGCAAGGTAAAGCCCCTGAGATGACACTTTCTTCAGAATCTACAAAACCTGAAAATAGCAAACCTACAGATCTTTTAGCTGATATATTCAGCTCTAATGTGAACAACTTTAATGGCAAGGCTGAGCCTGTTGGAACTAGTTCATCATTAGAATTTAAATCTACTGTAACCTTACCTACAAATGCAACAAAGATATATGATGGCAAGGCATTAATTGTATATAGTGGTGATGTTACTGTTGAAAATGGGTCTGCTAATTTTGAACTATATTTTGAAGCGAAGTCATCTGTTACTGATTTAAGCTGTCAATCTGCAGTTCCAAAATCACAAAAGTTGACAATGGGATCATTATACCCAAGTGCCTCTGTAGGTCATGGACAATTGAGCAAACAATCTATGAAAGTTAGTGGTTCAGGTAAATTAAAATTAAGGGTAAAGCTAAAATATAATAGTGAAGGCATAAGTAACGATGAACAATTTGACCACAAATTTAATGAAGCCTTGTAGATTGTAAAGTTCATTTAATCACTAAACGATAGACCTGATATAGTTTAAACTATTTAGTTCTTTAGATAGGATTTCATATAAAAATAAAAAACGAAAGATAAATTAAGTATATACTTGAAATTAGTTTTAAAACTCTAATATGAAAACTAATAGTTGTGACGACTGGAACCAGTAGTTCTTGCTGAGCTGGCATGTGATGCAGCTTCGTTTATAGCTGCATTTACATTATTGGCAGAAGGTTTTGGACCAGCTTGGATATATTTATCAGTTAATGGTGAAATTAACTTGTTATAGACCATAGTAGCACCACCAGTTTGAGGTAAAGCGATGTAAACTAAAAAAATTGTCTTGGCCAACCAATAAAAGGGATTTAATTTAAATTGCCCTTAGGCCAAAATTCAATACCACTCATGAATGCAAAGACAATCCAGTAGTTATTAATGGAGTATCATCATCCTTAGTGGTAGTTTTCAAAGCGACTAATGATTAATATGCAGGTAATACAAACCCAGCTAAATTGGATAGAATTTCACCCAACACCACCAACGTTAATGAAAATCAAAAGCAAATAACCTTAAAGAAGGAACCAAATGCCAAATAAGATTTTGGTAACTTAGTCTTATTTTCTAGCTCTTGTAATATTCTGTTACTGGAATAATTCTGCAATTAGTTAATTGATTTGATTTCAATTCAATAAATTGAAAAGTCAGTTAGTTAGTTAGTATAAAAATAGGAACTTAAAGGCTGATACTAAAATTATAAGTATTAATCAATTACATACTTTATCAAATTCTTTAAATTGAGATTGAATGCTTGATGAAAAGTCTGACATGATTGATGTGTTGCAATAATGATGATTTATATTTCACTTTTATTTAAAGTCGTTTAGCTATTCGAATCAGATAAAGAATTTTTCAATTTCCCTATTTTATATGCTTGGATATTCGAATAAGCGTTATCATCATTATATTTGGATACGAAAAAACTATGGATAAAGATATTTACACAATGGCAATGCAACGGAATTGTAACAATTTTGAGCTGAAATATCAATGTCAATACTGAATTGAATTAACAAAATGTATATCATACTTTGCTAAGTGTCTTGTATCATCGTTTTTAATTCACACTTTCTAATTTTAGATGTGAAATCTCAAAAAATGCAGTGAATATCTAATTGTATAAAACTTAAGCTAAGAAAGTATATTCCGAGCTTCACAGAAGACAAACACTGGATTTAAGTTATTTTTTTTATTATATGATTAATTATGGACTGACTGTTTATTAGTTTGATGAGTAAAAGGGTAAAATGATTGCCATCTTGTCAATGTTTATTTTTGACTGTTTCAGGATTCTAGGTTGCTTGCAGAAGTTTTTTGAAGAATCGGGTCTTTCTCATTGCAGTTTGAGTATGGATGATATTGTTTGTTTGTGTTACTTCTCTTTTATAATTAAGAAATGGTTGGTGTAGAATTGACTTTATGAAAAAAAATTTGATATTTTCCCTTGTGCTGATTTTTGGGTTTTTTGGCTCAAAAAACAAGTTAAACAGCTTCTATGGCCAAGTTGGTAAGGCGCCACACTAGTAATGTGGAGATCATCAGTTCGACTCTGGTTGGAAGCACTTTTTTTGGAATTTTTGCAAACGAAATATATGTACTACTACCATGCAAATTGTTTAAGATCTTATTTACTAACTTAAGACATAACTATTGCTTTCATATACCATAAACTTGAAAATCAATTAAATCTTTTTAAGGGTCTTGTACTTTTTTTGCTGAAACTAAGCAAGCTTGCGAATAAAATGAAATAGCAAAAACTGATGTATCCACGATTTATTAAGCTTTAATTAAAGAAAACTGGGTATGGCATGGCAATAACAAAGATTGGAAAACAAAATTGTTGCTAGTTATTGTTCTAATTCGGGGGAAAACTGATCTTATAAGTTGCACTATATTTATGAGTATATAAATCAGACGACATAAAATGAATATTAATGATTTCTTGATGCAACAATGACAACCTTTCATAAAATCAGATTTACATACAAATATTAACTGGACTAACGATATTCACAATATGATTTTTAATTCGTTAAATATTTTTATCATTCTTTGTCAATTTATCAAAATTAGTGTCGCAGGAATTATTGATTATGACCATGAAGTTAATATGGCAGTCATTCCATTATTAGAAAAATACAAGCAAGACGTTGACGAGTATAAAGTTGACGAAAATATTCATGAAAGTAATACAGAGGTCATTGGACTTCGTCGTGATACCGTTAACAAAGCAATTGAAAAAGTACGCAAAAGGTATCCTAATTTTCAAAATTATGATAAAATTTTACCTTTTGGTAGTGATTCAGCAGGCTTTTTGGTACTTGAAGTGTATCCAAACACATAAATTATCAACAAATTGATAATAATTTAACAAAATATAGAAATATACACACATTCATATATAAATAAATATATATCTAATATATTGGTTTGTTTAATTTTGTTTAATTTAAAGCATGCCTGTCGAGATCCCTTAAGACATTCCCTGTTGATTTTAACGAACTTTCACCTGATAGTTGAATATTACTTATAGAGGGTAATGACATTGGTGTTGTGTGTGCACTGTTTGTAAGTGGTGATGGATATTCGGTACTACTTGTTACAGTTGAATTAGTATCTGAAGGGGTCATTATCTTACTAGCAACATTTAATTCATCTGATTTTGGTTCAGTTTTTCTTTTCTTACAACAGCTATTACCTTCGCCGCCAGGCGCCACTGATAGCTGAGTATTAGGAGATTTAAGAGTATCGTTTTCCAATTTTGCCTTTCTCTTCTTGGCTTTACAACAAGAGCGCCCTGAAGTGATTTCAATTTCGTTAAAGTCTATTCCATTATTGTGATTATCTTCTGGAGTCAAAACGTTACTTCTAGTATTTTTATCTTCATAATTAGAATGAGTTTGTTCATTTTTAATTCCGGTGGGTACTTTTAAACTCTTACAAACGCATTGGAAGTTTTTAACATCTGAAAACACACACTTTTCTTCATTTGTATCAGTTTCAGTTTCAGTTTCTTTATTGATATTTTCTTTATCGATATTTTCTTCTTCACCATCGTCTATACTTCCTCCAATTGACATTGGAGTGTTTTTAGTTGAAAGTTTTCTATTTAACTTCACTGGTTCTAAAGGTTTAAAATGATCGATGATTACGTTTAATAGAGGGTCTTTGTATTTGATTTCGGTTGGAGAAGTGATTGGTTCTACTCCAGCTGAACGTAGTTGTTCTTTCAAAGAGTTATTTTCCTTTTTGACCAATTCGAAATTTTCGTTTAAAGAATCGAATTTATCCTTCCATTCGTTCAAGGTATCGTAGAGGAAGTTGACGTTAGTCTCTAGTTCGAAGATTCTTTTTGATTGTCTTTCCCTGTAGGCTCTTTGAGCTTCTCTATTTTGTACTCTCTTCCTTTCCTTCATATCTACATCGGTTGGGGTGAAATCGTTGACATCAGGATTTTTTGCCTTTCTTCCAGGTTTCAATCTTGGAGGGAAAGTCCAAGGTCTGTTGATTGAGGAGGAAGATTTGTTCTTGGATGTGCTGTTAGCCATTCTAGTGTTGGTATTAGCATCATCATCATCATCATCATCGATATCGATGGGAGAGGTAGACTTTGGCAGAAGAGAAAATTCACTCATTTTATTGTATCAGAATATGGGAAGTGGGTGAGTGTAAGTGTGTATATGAGTATGAGTATGAGTATGAGTATGCGAATGTGTCTAAAATTATATTATTAAATGAAACATGAAAATTTGTAAGGAACAGTAAAGTGTGGTATTGGTATTTGGAGAGGAGAGATTGTGAGGACAAAAGTATAGTGAGAGAAGTGTAGTTTTGGGTGAGATATCAGTTACTTTTAAACAACATCCATCCAGTTATCTAAGATCGAACCAAATCGAGTCGATTATTAATTGTGCCTGGATCCAAACGTCAAAATAGTTCGTATACAGTACGCCTTGTGCAGAGTGCAGAGTAGTGCAGAGTAGTGCAGAGTAGTGCACCTAAATTTATTTTCAATTTTGAACGTTTCCCATTTCCCATCCAATTGAAAGATAAATCTGAGAGTGTGTGAGAGAGAGAGAGTTGTGTAATGAGAGAGAGTGTAATGTGTCTCTGTGAGAGTGTCTCTGTGTCTGTTTGGCAATGGAAAATGGGAAACGGGAAACTTCCCAAAAGCAATTAACATTAGTAAGCCTCGCCGTGTGGTGTGACAGCCCACCTAATGGGAAACAAAACAATTTCTGATGGAAGTGGTAGCGATGGCAGTGGCAGTGGGGGTGCAGGTCATGTGATTTGGGTTTAGAAGTGTAGGAATGGTAGTTGGTGGTCCTCGTGGGGTGTGCCGCTGACATCGAACACACGCACGCACACACGCGCATGTGTTACCCGCAACATCACGTGCGACACCAAACCAATCCATTCTCACAATATCCCCTTTTCCGTTTCCGTATCGCTACAATGACTACCAGCAACAACTGCAACAACTCTCTCAACAGTAATCAATAAACACACTCTCAACACGATTAAAAACTCTCGATTGTTCATTCTAGAGAGTACTATCTATATATCACACTCTACTCTGCCCCCCCCCCCCCTGCACTGGTCGCTGTGATGGCTCATAAGAAACGATCTGGTTTCTGTAGCAGATGTACTTGAACATCAACATTTACATCAACATCAACATGTAGATGCAAATGTAGATGACTTATATACTTAGCTGCACTATATAGAAATATCTTACTTTAAAGGGTTTTTTTAGTTTTTTTTCTTATTTAACCCATAGACTGAAATGTATTCTTCCTATTACCAATACTTGCTTCAAATCAACGTATATCCTCGTCTTATAACTAAACTAACAGGAATATCTAATATAACTAGAGTGGAACTCATCAATTAATTAAAGGTCACAAATACTGTATTCCCTATCCTACCCTACCCTCCCCTTACGACATATTCAATCTATATACTTCTATCATCATCCCAAGGAAAAATTATGAATAATTTTAATGATAACTTGGTTACTGATGACAATGACAACAACAATGACATCGAAGATACTAAATTTGAAAAAATATTATCTAATTTAGAAATGATCCTTTACGTTTGTCTATATCTAAAATTGATGATCGACAACTCCTTTGTACTATTCCTCATCACTATTATAAATTTAATGTTGATCAAGATAATTAAAGGTTCTTGTAAAATTTATGATAGCTCAATAACAAGATTTCAATTGAAATTTTTAAAATATTTCCAGATATTGCTATTACTTCAAATTTTAATTACTATTATATTCTACTATTTCAACATTACCGACAAGTTCTTTCTCAGAATTATCGATGAAGAGACCCATTCCGTTTCACACAATAGATCATTACTGATCCTACTGAACATTTTGAGTCTGTTCTGGCAGTTGGTCATATTGTCTTTGTCATTGAACAACAAGTTTAAACAATTCTTAAACTATAATAAATATGGTATACTTTGCTCAATCACAACGATCAACGATCATTTGCAACGTGAACAGCGATTGTTATTAGAATCGAGAACTTTAACTGATCATAACCCTAACCATTTATATGGTTCTGTCGAATAAGAACCCAACCAACAACAACACACACACACACACATATACCTGACACTACGGTTCATAAGAAGGTATACTTTAGAGACCAGCAGATATATCAAGATATTTAGTTTCTCATCTGGCTCACGATACACACAACTTTGAAAACAATCTGATTCGTGATGGGCAAAAACCAAAACCAAAAGAAGAGCATTACCAAACAAGATGACGGGTTGATACGAACACAAATACCAAAAACCATCAACAACAAAGAGCATTTTCAAAGATTGAACTATCTTTACCATCTAACCATGTTTTCTAAAGATGAAAATTTATCAAGATCATACGTCAACCTAATGGACACCATTAGTAAAAAAACTAACACTAAAATGTTACCGTCATTGAAGAGAACGTATTGTAAGAAATGCAAACGTGTAATCATATTTGACAATAAGTTATCAATAAAAAAAATCAAAGGCATTGAAAGATTAATTATCGAATGCAAATGTGGCCATGAAAAATCATTTCCAATAGGTCTAAACAAGGATTATAAAACCTTCTATGAAAAGGAAGGTAATTTAATAGAGGTATCACCACCAAATACAAATATTCCAAAGCATTAATAAGAATAACCATTGTTCTTGAACATATTTTTTAATATAGCATCTATAAAGTATTTCCATTCCTCTCCCATTGTTTGCAATTTAAATTTTACCACAAATAAAATCAAAGGGAAAATAGAATATTTCAATCATATAGCATTAATAGATGTTCTAATAGGAAGTGTAATAAGTAATAATCATATAATATACATCTCATCTCATCTCATCTCACCTCATCTCATCTACTTGATAAGCCTTGGGGATTTGGACTGATTTCCAAAGTCATGTGTTACCCGGACTCGTCCTAGTTCACCAGATATAAAATTGTATATTTTTGAATGTTTTAAAAAAGGAAGAATCTCTAAGTGAAAAGATATTTAAATAAAGGTTTTGCCACCGTATTGAATTGGTGAATATATAGTCAACAAGGTTAATTGAGTCGTTGATCAGTGGCGGATCGAGGGTTTAATAGGTTATTAGTATTGTTATTATGAGTGGTTACGACAGGGCATTATCAATCTTTTCTCCAGATGGTCATATTTTCCAAGTTGAATATGCTTTAGAGGCTGTGAAAAGAGGTACCTGTTCAGTTGGTATCAAAGGTGAGAATTGTGTTGTTTTGGGTTGTGAGAGAAGGTCTACTTTAAAGCTACAAGACACTAGAATTACCCCTTCAAAAATCTCAAAGATTGACAATCATGTTATACTTTCGTTTTCAGGGTTAAATGCAGATTCAAGAATTTTAATCGAAAAGGCAAGAATCGAAGCTCAAAGTCATAAATTAACTTTAGAGGACCCAATTTCAGTGGAATATTTGACTCGTTATGTTGCTGGAGTTCAACAAAGGTATACCCAATCCGGTGGTGTTAGACCATTTGGTATTTCAACATTGATTGCTGGATTTGATCCAAATGATAAGACTCCAAAATTATATCAAACAGAACCTTCAGGTATTTACTCTTCATGGACTGCTCAAACAATCGGTAGAAATTCAAAAACTGTAAGAGAATTCTTAGAAAATAATTATGACCGTAATGAACCACCAAAAACTGTGGAAGAATGTGTTAAACTAACTGTGAAATCATTACTAGAAGTAGTTCAAACTGGTGCTAAAAATATTGAAATTACAGTAGTAAAACCAGATTCTGAAATATTGACGTTAGACAATGACGAAATTGACAAATACGTTCAAGAAATAGAAACTGAAAAGAAACAACAGGAAGAACAAGATAAGAAAAAGAAGAAATCTGCATAGATACATATATAAGTACATAAAACAAAAAAAATCATTTTAGAATTTGAATCACAATATAAATGTATATATAAACAAAAAATAATACGAATTAATTAACCAATAATGATAACAAGAAAGTACACTAAAATATACTTTTGTCAATACTTCATTCTATATCATTTGTGTCATAGAGTACTAGTAGCGCATGGATTAATATAGTGACATTTATAAGGATTAGAATACCAAAATACATTATGACGTTATTTAAAAAAACAAACTATATACCTTTAATCTGTTCTTATATATCTTAAAAGTCTTGTTGTGAATGTTGCCTATTGACTCTTTTAAATTTATGAAATCTTGTTTCGATATTCTTAAATAGCAATGCAATTTCTCGACATGAATCGCAGTAATAGAAAATTTAGCTATGGGACATTAAGTAGCTTTAACTCATTATCATTGTCACGGTTTGTTACAGCATTCCCAACTCTGAGTTCCAATGCCACACAATATTTCGATGCATTGACTACTTTTGATGACGACATGAAGGACGTTTCCAGATTTTCTGGCGTCAGAAATAAACAGACATTGAAAGTTTTACCACCTGAACCAATATGTGATAGGAATGAAATCATCAAGATCGAGAGAGAATTGGGTACATTGAAATTTGAGAGTTTTGATAATTCGTTATTTATTAAAAGTCATGAACCGAAGCTTAAATTGGGAACAACCATTAGAGCATTTTTCCAA